ACATTCTGTTCTATTTGAAACAGCTGGGACAGCAAGGAAGACTACATTTCCTACAGAAACTCAATTAGGCCGATGGAAAAGAGGCCATAAAATGCTTCTGTTGTCTATGGAGTCAGGGAGAATGTGCTAGACTCAGCTTTGAGTTGAATTCTAAATATAAACTTTTAGATCAGGCTTTGTTCAATTAGCTTGGTCAGCTGAGTGTAATATTGTTTTATCTTATTTTTATACTATATCATGCTCTTAAAATTGTGCATGTTGAGCTGCCCAAAACCTTGACAGGTTTCTAGAAATTGATTTTGTCCTGCTGATTGTCACAGAAGTAAATATCAGGAGAAGCTCTAGCCTTGGACTGAAAGAGAACATGGCTTGCCTACTTCCTGCTCATGCTTCTCGCTACCAGAAGTGTGGTCATGAGAGACACTGCACTGTTTTCTTACATGACAGCAACACATGAGAAGCCAGATGCTGATATGCTTCTGCCATTCCAACGGTTATTTGTCAGCAGCAATACAGAGCTCCACACACTTAAGACACTGACAAAATGCTTCCCTGTACCTTTTCAGCCTCTTCTAAAGACTTGTTCCATCGTCTTCCTTCATCCTGAACCCCCAGTGAGGAGGACTGGAACTGCCTTTACTGCAATTATCCCTTTTCCTTTGTACTACCTTTGTTTGGAAGAAGGCTTTCAATTGCTAATGGCTGGGTACGGTTTTTCTTAGTATACCCATCTTTTGAACCCTTAGTACAGTAGTGGTTTGTATCTATTAGTGAAAACCAAATAAATGTTCATTGGCTGTTGTGGTCAGAAAAATAACCAACCTGAATATTCTCCAACAAGTATTCAGATAACAAATGTGAATAAACTCTAATTAGAAGAGCCACTGCCCAAAGGCTCACTAACATGAGCCTTTATACCTAAAAACCTTCCAGGTACAGAGATGGCATTCAGTGAACATTTGAAATGAATGAATAAGTATTATGTCTTTCCAGAGAGCTTGACCAGTATTTACTTGAGCGATGAAAAAAAAAAAGAATTCATAGAATGCGTAAGGGAAGAAAGACTAGACTGGTCATTTTTCATTTCTCTAGGTCAGAGGTGGGCAGATTTTATACAGGTTAAATGGTGAATATTTTAGAATTTACGGGCCATATAGTTTCCACTGAATTACTGGGTCCTACAGTTAAGTATAGAATAAGCTATAGATAATAATAAGTGATAAATGAGTGCAGCTAAATTCCAATAAAACTTTATTTATGAAAGAAATCAGCAGACAGATTTGGGCTGCTGCAGCTTGCTGACCTCTGTTCTCTGGCAGTTCTGGAAAAACAATCTGTTAGAGTGATGGTGAAGTAACTATCTTCTTAAAGACCCCACTTTCTGCATCTTTACAGGTCTGCCTTCCACTCCAACCCCAAGGGAACTTCAGTGTCTTGCAATATGGTACCTCAACTCTTATTATATTAAACTGAATCCTAGACTGATTTCCCAGAACAATGTGATGTTTTCAGCAGAACCCCTGAACTCTATGAGCTCAGTCCTAGCAGGATAAGGGAACATTTCATAAGGTGCTGAAGTGATGTCTTACAACACTGATGCTGTTACAAATGGGGCCCTTTCTCTCTTCATAGAAAAGCTCCAATTGCTCGTTTGTAATGTCAATGACCAACCAGATACAGTTCATCTGGTTATCTGCAGAGCCAAGAAATGATCCACTCAAATGTGCATCTCAGCACACGCTTTTTAGAAGCGACCACCTCTCTGTCTATTTAAATAACTTATTTACAAAAATGACTGCTGGCGTCTGCAATTGGCAAAATGTGTTCTCACATTTTGTCTGCAATGATTACAGATAATATGACAGTCTCACCAATTACTTTGTTGGATTACTGCATTATTTCAGAATAGGCATGTGCTGAATTTGATGATCATCTATATATTTATAGATACAAATGTAAAAATGTCTATGGAGCATCAATGCAGGAACAGGGCTGTTATAAAATATGCTTTCAAAATTCTCAAACATGCTTTCTCATTTTTCCAAGTTTTAACCTCTCTTATAAACCAGGCCTGATTTTATCTTCAGCTGCAACTACAATTTTAAACAGAACTTCAATGAGATTACTTGCTGAACATGTTAAACATTCATACCTTTGCCATATGCTGTTATGGAAATTGCATTGATTTATAGCAGTTTAAGTGCCACTAGATAGCACTGATTCACCTGACACCAAACCTAGCTGTATTGGGAAATAATGTTGTGTTTCCTTTGCATCTATACCTCTGTTGAACTAATAATAGAGCATGAATTGTATTTATGTAACTTTGGAGAAAACATAACACATTTAAATATAGTCCTACATTCTGTGACTTCTACAAGATTTGAGGGGTATGAAGTCAAAATTACTAATAAAACAATGGTCAAGAAGAGAATATTGCAGTCAGGTAAATTTAGGTTTAGATAGCAATTCAACATACTTTCTTCAGTAGTAGATGAAGAAAGATAGTGTCAGGGCTGATAGGTGGCTATGAGGATCAAGTGTGATGCATACAAAGCATGCAGTAATTACAAAACTTAATTCTTATATACACTCAATAACTAACATTTACCATTAGTTCTTAGTGCCTTAACTATTTCTACTTAGTTTTAAAATGGCCATAAGACAGGTGACCAGTGTAGTCAACAATCCAAATATTCAAAGGTGAAAAGGTAAAGAATCATGAAAGGCCTCTTTATGGTGAAGACATCAACAATGGGGTACAACTATGTTAATCTTTATTCCAGATGAAGCAACTATAGTATTCATTTTAAGCAAGATAATTATATTTGGCTGCAGCAAGTGAATACATAGACAGTAATGAATATTTATAAATATTAAAATTTGTATGATACAAAGAAAGTCAGACAAACTGCCTTTTTTTTTTGCCCCAATTGTAAGGATCCACCATGGTCAATATTTTCAGTGTACGTGTTTAGGTGTTAGGGGTGGTAATTTTGCCCTGTGGAGGATATCTGCTAATGGCTGGAGATACTTTTTGACATCACAGTTTGGTATGCTACTAACCTCAAGGAGGATACTAGAGTGAATAACTTTAAGGATGCTGTAAAACATCATGTGATGCATAATATAGCCTCCACAACAAACTATCTGGCCTGAACATCACAATATTCAGGCTTAGAAACTTGGCTCTGGGCTAAAATCATTTACAGCCAAATGGGTCTGTTTGTCTGCTCCCAAAAGATACTGGATAGATTTAAGGAATGGCACAATTTCTGAAAATATGGTCAAATCTCCTCAGGCTCTTTGTGTTGGTTCCGTGTTTATAAATCAGAAATATTAGCATGGAGCTCATCCACACAGTAGAATAACTAGAAATATGAAGTCTATAGTTTAAAAAAAGTTCTGGGGGCTACTGGCACTCAAGGAGAAATCAGTACTCTGAACAGCTTGTCTTATACCTGGAGGAGGGCAACCATCTACACTATTTGATAAACCAAGTTTAACCAGGGGTTTTCCTAAACAGACAACATACTACAATAACAACATCATGGACTTTAGCATTAAAAAGTTATAAGCACACTCTTTGGATATGCTTACTGAATTGAAAAGCTACCTCACATATCAAGGGCAATCTTTTTTTCCCCAAGAACCCTGACACAAATACTGCCTTGGATGCTTAAAAAGTTACACAGGTTATTGTCACAGCACTTGATTGCCTCCCAGAATTTGAAGGTAAGACCCTATTGCTGAAGAAACAACATACTTCAGACACAGGACATGGAACAATGAAGCTGGATGACCTGGAAGCCTCCTCCTTGAGGCTAGCTCTCATAATTGTAGAGGACACTATATAAGCTGTTAAGGGAGAAAAATCACTGGCACAGCAAACTATATGGGTACAGTAGTGGCACTTTTATCTTGAGGGTAATCAACAGCTACCTAATTGAACTTTAAGCCCACTTGGTGGGAGGGAACTCATGTGTGGTACTGTAAACACAGCCAAATACACATGGCTGGAGAGGTCATAGATCTTAGAAAAAACCCCAAGGCTGTCATATCCCTCAACAAATGTAATTTCTTACTATATGCTAAATATGGATCCTTATATTTACAGGCAAGTGTGCCAGTCACCAGTCATCAAAGAAACTTCTCTTGCAACACATGGAAACGTTTCACAACTGGTCGCACTCAGAGAATAAGTATATGTGAGATCCCAAACCCTAAGTGACACATCTATAATGGAACCTCTACATCTAAGACTCGTGGAACATAGTGGAACAAGGGGTAGAGAAAATACGAGTGTATCCCTCAACTCTCATCAATGAAGCTCTCTCAGGAAACAGGGCAATTAACACAAAAGGCCACAGATGGACAAAGCATAGAGAATAAGAGTCTGAAGAGTGTGGGTCCTCAAATAGTACTCTTACATTAAACTTCACCTACCCAGGGCTCAGAGACCAGTGCAGAAGAGGGGGTGAAAAGACTGTAAAAGCCAGGGGAAGAGGTACATGACCATATGGAAACAGTCTTACAGGCTCCTGGGACCTTGCTCATATGAACTTACAGCAATGCTGTTAGCATGCACAAGACCCATGCAAACTCATGCAGACAAAATCCCAGCACAGAACTGTGGAAATGGGCAGCAGTCCCCAGCCTTAGCCAAAGAACTACTGGTAACTGACTACTGCCAGATGAGGAAGTGTTGATCTTTAAGGGAGAGACTCTAGGAAGGCTGACTAGAATCCAGTGGGTGAACTTGCATTGAGGGACATCTGGGTACACTAATTTGACTTGAGAGGCCTTAACATATATGAAAGAATGCATGAAATGTGATAGGGGGTGCTATGGGCGAGTGTGGCTGGGGGACAGGGTATAAAGATGATTAAGATGTTTTGAATGAAATGCACAAAAATTCAATAAGAAATACACATTAAAAAGTTATAGGCTTAAATATGGTTAATGCTTCAAGACTAAAAAAATTATATAAAAGTTATTACTTTAAAGGTTTTGATCCTGTACTTGGTGTCATCTCGACGCTGTTGATGAGACTCTCTGTGAAGTCTGTATTTGGAATATCTGCCATCAGTTTTCTCAGATGAACTGCAGGAATCCTGGAAAAGCAATAAAGAATCTCAACTGGTGGATGAAAGAAAAACTAGTGCTTGAAATCAGAATAAGGAAATACCAATATATGGACAATAAATTAACTGTAGGCATTTAGACTGATACATACAGGAAAAAACAGGCAGTTAAGGAAAAAATAATGTGTTTACTGTGTATTTGATCACAAAAATAAAATGGGTGGGGCTGGGGAGATGGTTCAGTGGTTAAGAGCACTGGCTGCTCTTGCAGAGGACCTGGGTTTGGTTCCCAGAACCGAATGGTGGTTAACAATTGTCCATAACTCCAGTTCCAGGGGATCCAACAGTTTCTTCTGACCTCTGAGGGCACTGCATGCACAGTTGCAGTTATATACATGCAGGCAAAATATTCATACACATAAAATAAAAATAAATTAGAAAACCAACATAAATAAAAAGTGGAATTTAAATAAGATGCAATAAAATAAAAGAAAATGGGGGTGACATTAGTCATTTAGATTGCTAGCATTACTACCGTCCATGGTAGTTTGAAATGAGTGGAACCTGGTCATTCACAGGAAAAAAGGTTTAAGTAACTAGCTGACAAAGATAGCCATTAACGGCATTATGCCACTTTTGTGGTTGTATAAAAATCCTTTAAGTATACTCAGGATCAAACTATCCTCCTTGTTAGATGAAAATGTTACCTTTGAATTCTAAGCCCCTTTACTTCAAATATCCTTAAACAATATTCTCTTCTAAGTATTATATCACATAAACTTAGTAACATTTCATGAGTCTTCATGAATACCAAGAGCTCAAATAATAAAGAAATCAAGAAACAACAATGCCCAGGACCTTTCTTCTTTTTCCTTTCCTTCATTTTCAGGAGGAAGAAGAACACAGTTAACACCTACTACAGCTGATTATGTAGATTAATGATTTAGGGAGAATTTCACAGAGAATGGGAGCAAGTGATTTTGGTATGTAGGAAAAAATTTGTCGATGGCAGTTAGAGTTTGAGTTTTATTGACAGTTCAAGGTATATTCAATTTTCAAGTTTTCATTTTTATAAGAAAAAAGAAGTAAAAGAAAGCCCATTAACATGGTTATGGTTTAGCCGGAGCTAGGCAATTTATGGTAGATTTAGTTTGGAATGTAGTACCAATCTCTTCCCAGTTTATTAAATAGGTGATGCTTTAATATGGGATGACAGAGCCTAAGCATTTCTTCTCCCCAAAACATGAGGTTCAAAGAAGAGAAAGAGAGAGGAGGAGAGAAGGGAGGACGAAACAGCCAGAATGAAATAAGAATAAAGTCAAACATCAAAATAGACTGGAGTTCGTATGCATAGTCACAGACTACAGTACTACTGAAACATAGACTCATGAAATACATTTTCAATATATATTAGTAATGGCACCACGAGTAGGAACCAGAGATACTGGTGTCCAAGCCCCTCAAATTATGGACAAGGAAATAACCCCTGATATATTAAGTGATGTTATCTGGGGCATGAACTTGAACTTGGATAAGAAGAGAGGTCTTTGAATTCTTGTCCACAGTATGCTTAGTTTTAGAATAAAACTTTATTAATATAAAATCTTTCCATATTTTCATTTAAGGGTATATCTGGTTGTTTTCATGAAAATGACTTAAGTGGGCTATTTTTAATTATATAGATAACCTCGGAGTATATATAGAATGGGCTTCAAGTTAGAGGTCATGGGGAAAAATCAGACAAATTAGATCTCACTTCCCACTAATTTATATTCTCCAAGCCTCGGGTTCCTCTTCTGTAAATAGGGAAAACAATTTAACCACAGGATGTCCTTTCTGAAGACTACAAAAAAAAAAAAAAATCCAAGCACAGCAGAATAGATGTAGTTACTGTTTGCTACACAGTATGTGGTATGTGCTACATGTGATACTAAGAATAGCAAGGATTTCCCTTTTCCAGGCAAGAGGTTTTACTTTTAGTGGATCAGAAGGAATTCTAAGCTTTAAAAAAATATTCCCCCAGAAAAATTCACTACAAAAGCATCCTCATAATGGAGTTTGTATATGTATAAGCTAGACTTATAATTAGGAGGCTTTAGGATGCTGCTTTTAGAAGCATTCTGTTCAGTGAGGACCACTGGGGAACAAGTGAGTTGTCACTGCATGCTAAACTTTATATGCTTATCACGGTCTAAGGGAGGAATTTGTTTCCCCTGGAAGTGCCACCTGTCTCCCACAGTTCTCACCCATCCCTTCATTCATCTAGATGACATCTATTAGTACAGAGGGAAAAAAAGGAAGGATGATGATAAAACCTTCTCTGTTCTCCACACTGGGTTGCATGAAAGTGAGTGGAAATCACACAGCTCTACATGCTGGTGTCGCAACTAATTGATGGGATTTAAACTATAAATACACAATCAAATCATGAGAAAAAACACAATACTTTAATAAAGTACACAAGGAACATTTCGTTTATCCTACCGGCAATAGTCTTGCCTTCAGGATGTGTCAACTCACTCTTGGATCATACTAAAAAGTATTTACTTACTGAATCACTAAAAATACTTGTATTTTGAGATCCACATCATGTCAGTGCTTCCAATACATCCATGCTATTACTTGGTTATACTTCCTACTCAACTGTATCATCAAAAGATTAGCTATATTTAAAGAGAGTCTAAATATGTTATAGTTTCATTTAAATTTTAAGTTTGATGTGAAATAAGAGGTTACATGTTCACAATGGGAACCCCTACCATCACTTTTAGATTTGGCCTTTTATTTATATCTAGTATGTAATAAATTGACACTGCAATTATAAACTGCCAAAGATGTACTCTACATTTGTACCCCTAAGGAGGTATGTGAAGAGTTCTCTGGTCTAATGGGACTGGGTGATGGAGCAATCTGCTTTGCATCTATCCTCGGTGAGAAGCTTTATAGTAATTACAGCAGGCAAACCCACACATAAAATTAACTGGCTTGATCATGAAGTGCTCTGTGGTTAGAGTTTATCAACAAATGGCCTTGGAGATGAGCTATAAGATGCTTCATAGATTGCCATGCTAGAGTAGAAGGGTATGTGAGCCATGACATCCACAGAACAAAAAGTACCTTAGCTTTCGGTTGTCACTGGCATGTGTCACTCCCTTCAATTCTTAGGTTTTTCTAACTTATTATTACAGCTTTGGAGAAAAAAGTGAATTTATAGCAGTAAGTTACGAATTTTTATTTTCCTATGTTACGCTAACACAAAAGTGTGTTTATTTTCAGTCTTGACAAATGTCAAGAGAACTGTGATAAGATGCAGTCTTAAAAGTCCTCAGTGTTTTTCAGTCCTTCCTCCCATCCAACAGGTTTCCTTGCACATCAGGAAGATGTCAAGTGTTCTAATTCACATAAAAATAATGAAAGAGACAAGCCAACTATTTCTCACTCTGAAGTCTTTGAAATCCTCTAGTAGGTTCAGTTTCTCAGGCACAGATTCCAGATGGTCCAAGGCCACTCGGGTACTCTGGGAAAAGAGAAAACAAAACATAAGGAAACCAAACCCAGTGAAAAATTGATTAGTGTTCTCAGAATCTAAAAACACTGATTAATAGCCTCAGAATCTAGATACAGAAAATGAGACAAACCACTGGTATGAGTAGATTAAAATGAAAACTTATAGTCAAATAAGAATATTTTCAATACATTTTTTAAATCAGAAGAATTATTTCCTTTCAAGACATGTCTGAGATGTATCTGCAGATCTGAACCATATAAAAAGTATTCCTGGATAATTGCTTTCAATTAATATGCTAAGAAATTTTCTATAGAGCATTTCATATTCATATTAATTTATAAAATTTCTTCAGTAAACATCAAAATTCAACTACCAGTAATACTGAGAAAAAGATGAATTTGAAGTTATTTATCTATACCATACATTAGACATTCTCAAATGCTGCCATTAGGAAGAAAAGAGTTCTCAGCAAATATTTGAGCTTAAAAGGAAATGGGGGGTGGTTCTCAAAAGACAGAAGAAAGTCCTAAAAATCAAACACTTGTGACAAAAAGCACAGGATTCTGCTCATTATAAATCAATACCTTATTGCCCAATCTTTGATTAGCTGGTCCTATTATATCCATCAATATAAACATTAAGAAGGAATGATCTGTGAATTACTTTGAAGAGGTTCAGTGGTGGAATAACCTTGAGACTGCATAATATGTAATCGGTGTTGGTAACTAGTGTTAGCTTTGGAATTTCAAATGAATTTCAATTGTTCAATGCAATAAACAACAAAACTCACAGGTGAGGCATAGGAACAACATGAAATATCCTGTAAGACCCAGGGCATCAATCTGCAGAGCTGCAGAGAAGTTAATGTCAGCCTATTCCATCCTGTGCTCTCTAACACGTTTCAATGAATAGTGGTCTGGGAGTGTCACTCTAGACTGAGACAGCTAAAGATTTGTGTTCCCTCTTTCACCCCAGCTCCTGCCATGAGGACTTCAGAGGCCACAGGCTCCAGACAGCTAACTCTAAGATCAAACAAATCTGCCCACCATGCCCAATTTCACATGAAACAACAGTATTTTGTTAAGATGTAAGATTTTAGGGTTTGTTATTTACCAACAAACAGCTCAACATTAATTACCACAAATGATGTCTACGCTGAGAATTAATTTAAACTGTAGGCAAATCAATGTGGACAATCGGCTTTTGATTGGACAGGTAGATTCTGATTTATGCCATAACTGTTTTTCTTGAGAAGAGTTTAGCACTTTTCAACTAAATCTCTCTACTTAAAATCCCCTCTCCCAAAATTCAAAGGTGCTGTTCTTTTCCTGGCAATCCAGAGCCTCACTGAGGCAGATTTTCCAGGGCCTGTCCTTTATGTCTCCCACAAGCTTTGGGTCAGCAATGGATAGAAACAAAAAATAATGGGATCTCTTTGTTCAGTATTTTTCCAATGCACCCATTTCTACCACCACCTTCTTCAGTAATTGTGTTAGTTAGTTCATTCAAAAGCCTAGCTAGAATTCTGCAGGCTAAATGATGCTTGCTTTCAGTTATTAAGCCCCAGACAAGCACTTTGGCTTCACTTTTTTTTTTTTTTTTTGGTTCTGAGTTAATTTACCTCTTCTCAGTGCTTCGTGACATGGAGTTTTATCACATATAACCCAGTGTTACTACTCTTCATATGCTTATTTTAGAAGCTGAGCAAAAGCTCTCCTGCTTTTCCATTTTGAACAGAAAGATGTTACATGCTGTTCCACATTCATAAAAACCTTCTTTCTCATGATCTATTTAAAGGATTTAGTATTTTGTTCCTTCTGTTCAATATTTATATTATTGTTCGTCTTTCTGCTGCATGTACTCCCTTAAACTCCATACATTCTAAATGGCATCATTTAATTTTTCCACAGGTAGGAAAGAGTCATCAATGTGACATTTTTTCTTAATGTATATAGGGACATAACATGCAGGTAGAGGAAAGCAGGTGGGCTCTTTTAGTCACCACCTAGCCTATATTTCTTTCAGTAATAAACTTAGAGATTTAAAGAATTAGATCAGCTCTTGAACAACAAAATACAAAGGAAAGTTCTGATGCCTATTTTAAGGCAAAACTTTGTACACTGACTAAAATCCTTTGTATAAGCACATTCTAATAGACTTTTATCACTAATGTTTTATTTCCTTTCTTTATCCTATATATTTTCTTATTTGGGAGGGATCCTATTAACCTAGGCAAAGTATGTTAAACTCATTTTGTTCACAAAATAAGCAAATGATCTCTTTCCCCACCATAAAGCTGTGTTTGTGCTTACAATTCTCAATCAGCAAACTGACTTTGTGACCCTCCTTTTTTGTATTTCGCATGCATGTGCTCACACACTAGTTCATTATGACTATTATATTTCTGGATGGTATTCAAATGGCTATGTTATTGTGAGTGATCCTGGAAAACTCTTTGCCTCTTTATTAAGCGCAGTTATTTTTGTACTCTTCTTCTTCCTTACCCATGTCTCAATGAACTCTCTATTTTCTCATGACTTCAGTTGCCGCCCCCCCGTGTGTGTGTGTGTGTGTGTGTGTGTGTGTGTGTGTGTGTTGCTAGAGATTGTTTATATTAAGCCAGTGCTCTACCACTGAGCTAATCCTGCAGTCTGTGACTTATTTTCTTATTTTGTATTCCACTCACATATTACTTCTAAATATCTTCTTCAATATTAGAAACACTCTCCACTACACAGGTCCACCTATTCACCCTTATATTCTATTCTGATAACTTACTAGGAAAGTATATCATAAATATAACATAAAGAGCATCAAGACATAGGTAACATCTTTTTTTTTTTTTTAAGGAAATTTTAACTCCCTGGGAGGATGGCGGGAGAACAATGCATATGCAAAAGATGCAAAAATTATACAAGGACCAAGTGAACATCTCTTACTCTACAGAAATATGTATAGGTGCTGGTTTCCAGGGCATTTGCAACAGGAAGATGTTAAGTAATGAAGGCAGCGAGGCCAGACCTGCACGCTCGGGCTCCTATAAAGATTGCACGATTAGGTGATATTTCAGGGTGTATGTTTCTCTCTCTGTCCTTCTCTCCTTCCCTCCCTCACCCTCTCTCTCTCTCTCTGTAAGCCTAAACTACTACTTTGGTATAAGAATATACATAATACTTTCATTTTTTTTCCTTCAAAATGTGAGGTTGCTGGAGTTAGGTTATCTCATACCATATACCATTTCAAGTTCATGATCCCCACATCAACAGTGCTGAGACAGAATCCAGAAACACGCAATTATTTTTTGAGAATTTCATACATGAGTACCGTATTTACATCATATCCCTCCTCCAACTCCTCCCATGTCTCCTCTCTCTCAATCTGGTGACCTCTTTAATTATTATCACAGACACACACACACACACACACACACACACACGAGTCCATTTCATGTTGCTCATATGTACATGTGTCTAGGGCTGATCACATGGGACTGGATAACCTATTGAGGAGCTTTCCTGGAAAAATCTGATTCTCCCTCTCAGTAGCACTGACTGCCCATAGCTCTACTCAGATACTCTTAAGGATCTTGGTTGGTTTCAGAGTCTACATAAAGACTCAGGGAAACTTCATGTTTTAAGTTGGTTAATTTTTTTTCTGTGTTTTATTAATTAACACTTTATAGTGTGTAGACAATCCTATCAAAAACTCACAGAGCAATTTTCAAGTATGTTTCAGTAAATAGCATCAACAAATGATATAACTTAATTGGCCTTTAATTTTACCTAATTCTTTAAAACAAATGAGATGTTTACATGAACGTTTAAATAGGTGTAGTGGCACATGCCTGTAATCTCAGCAATTTGGAGGTACAGGATCCCAAGTTCAAGGTCATCCTGAATTACCAAGTGAGACTATGTAGCAAAAAAAAAAAAAAAAAAAAATTACCCTCTGAAAACAAATATTACAAGGAAATACACACCACACGGAACTGAAAACAGAGAATCCCCAATGAAGACCTCACACAGAACCTGCATTTCATATGCACCTACGGCTTACCTCAGAGGTCGAGGCGCTGCCAGTATCACAGCCTAGAGGCACTGGCTGAACACGGGTTCTGCTAATCTCAATGGCACAACTAAAGTCTACACTGTAACAAATGCAGTTTGCAATCAAATTCAATTCTGAATTATGTTTAACCTGCTTCTTACTCCTTGCACTAACATGTGAGACGTGTATAGGATTGTCAACACAATTACACAGATGAGGCCATTGAGAACAAGAGGGTACAAGTAATTGTTCACAGTTGTGTGGTAGCAAAACTAGGATGCAAATTCCGGCAGTCTGAAGGAAGAGATGACAGTGTTCTCATCACAAAAAAACATTCATAGCACACCAAGCCAAAAAGGCATGGAGAGTAACCGGAAGGTGTAATTGTGATTATTTCCAACCCCTTTCCAGCTATCAATACTTAGCATTCAACCTTGAAGACATGTTCTTGATGGGATTATTTCTGTTAGAAAAGTTTTAAAGAGAGACCAAGAAGAAATTCATCTTGCCAGGGCTGAGGAGTCTATGCTCAGGACCACATGTATCTAAGTACATGTGCATATGCATAGGAGAGAGGGACAGTGGGAGGAAGGAAGAAAGGGAGGAAGGGGGGAGGAATGGGAGATGGAAGGAGAAAGGAAAAGAGGGGAGAGAGAGAAAGAGACAAAGGCATCAGGATAATCTTTCTGTAAAGGATACTAAGTGTATCACAGTTTCATGGGACACTTTGTGTTACTGTAATGTGCAATGCTTGTACACACAGGTTGCATGAGATGCAAACACTGGCTGAATGAAGACAAAGGCAGTTCCTATGTTCTAAATACTCCCAGAAACGTATGCATCTTGACCTCTTTATTAACATTCTAGAAGTCAAGACTATGGTTTGCTAATTTTTCTTCTAAGAGCATAATCATGTAGGAGATATGACCGTGAGAAGAGAAAACCTGTCTCTTAGCCCCATG